TGTGCAAGAAGTGAATATAAAGAAAATATTTAATAATTTGCTGTTCACGTTTAGAAATCGAAAAAATTCGTTGACAAACGCGCAGCTTGTTTTAAAGATTATAATATAAGAGAACAAGTTTACACAAATATATACATACATATATACATATGTATATGGAGGTTGGATGGGAACAGGCACATCTTGTGAGTTCTTGAAATTCTCGCCAATTAAAAGTGATTGCGAACATTGTCTAATTCAGTACATATGTGAAAAGAAAAAAAAAATAACTTCTTTTGCAAGGAATTTTCGCTGTTAAGCTCTCAATTTTGCTATTTTAGCAGAGGTCCAATCGCCAACCGAATTGCTGTGTAAGTAGGTACATATGTAGTTCTCTCATTTTGTATTATTACATTTTCACATTCTGTCCCCTATTTTCCATTTTGAGTTTTCTCTGCGAAGAATCGGTGCATTTTTTTCACGCTAGTTAGTTACAATCTTTCATGTTTTGGCGTTTTCGTACGTAAAAACTTGGAATGAAAGTGAAAATTGTTCGATCAAAATTTTAAGGGAAAGTTGCAAGATTTTAGTTATAACAATTTTAATGTTGACTTAGTTACAACGATTTTGTGGCAGGAGCGGGGGCATGACAGTAGAATTCTCCTGCCGAAGAAGAGGGGTTGAACACCTTTTGCAAAGATATTTCGTGAATATTTTGTGTGCTTGACACATCAGCTCGGAAATTTTCAAAAATATACCATATTTCAAACTGAAATTATTAATAAATAAGTGCACACATATAGTAAATTTAAATAAAGCGTAGACTTGTTGTACAAATAACTAAACCGTACCCAAAAAACAGCTGTTTGTATGCTGCTTCTTCCATTTTACACAAGCAAACCGAATACAATTTTGGAATTGTAAAGTTCATGCGATAATAAAATTGTTCAATTAAATTTTCACTATTTTGGATAGTTCTTTCATTGAGAGCTATTCTTGGAAAATAACCCAGTAGGACCTGTATACAAAATAAAGGGGAGCTTTTCTTTAGAGCCGATCTTTGTTTGCGAGATGGGCGAAGACGAAGGGTGGGCATCTCCCACATCCCATTTTAGAGAGGGAATGAAACGCCGTTTACAAAAATGTAACTCCCGGCTGCATATGCCCTTACAAAATTGGACAAAAATCAAAATTTTTACTCGGATATTTTTTAACTGGAGAATACATGACATAGCTAAAATCTGATATCTTGTCTACTTTTCTATTGGAACCCCGCTCCGTTTCCTTATTTACATGCAATTTGTCATTGTTCTGTCGCTCTCTCATTCTCACGCTTGTACGTGCTAGATTGCAAGTGCAACTACGTACCTGTGGTCGTACATACAAATATATGTATGTACCTAACTATGTACATACATATGTATGTCCGTATGTATGTATGTATGTTTGCATAAAAGTCATATGTGAGCTGGTTATATTTTTTTAATTTTGTTTTATTTTATTCACGGCATCTAAAAGGAGCTTTGCTTGTACAGCTGCGAGCACTAAAATAGTACTGTGTATTTACGGTTAATATTTTTTGAAAACACTAGAAAACCAAAATTACACACAAAGCTTGTGTTCTCGAAGCCGTCTCCCTACTGTATGAAAACTACATGGTAACTAGGTTATCCATAATTTCTAAAGCTGACATTGTGGGACGAATATTTAATAATTTGCCGTATGGTAGTCGTTGATAATTTCTGCTTACCACCCCGGTTTCAGGTTTATTTTGATACTTTAACGTATTTCGAATCATGGAGGCTAAAATTCAACCAATTTTTTCCACTTCTTTACATGTTTGCCCATTTTTAATAAGAGTTTTAATAATTCCACGTTTTTCGTGAGTGCGGTGCAGACTAAAAATCACAAAAATACGTTTTTGTCTATTCCTGCTAAATATGTATATAGCAAACCATATAATTAAACTTACTTTTTATTCAAAAAACTGAAATATTTTCAATTAAAGTTAAAATTTGCGACTTCATTTGTTCTGCGCTACTATTTCACCGGTCGCCTTAAATGCCGTTCACAACAGGGGATACTTCTAAAAAAATTAAACCGTAGCTGTTGAACGGTTTGAAATTTGCATAGAGTTAAATCATACACTAGAGATGATAAATAAAAAAAAAAAAAACTCGATTACAATATCGCGTAGTATGCGGCATCAAGGGCATAATACATCTCGCAAGTGCGCACTACTATTTCAGTGATCGTAACTGTATATTATTTATGTATATTAGGGTGGTCCTCAAAAATGAAATGAACAGTTTTTTTCAGTCTCACCCGCTCAATCGGTAATTTAAAAAAAAAAAATTTAAATTAGTTTTATTTTCATCTAATTCCCATACCCATACCAAAAATTTTGGTCGCGATTGGAGACTGTTACGGCCTGTTGCACCGGGGCCAAACGTTCAGATTACCCTATGAAGTATCAAAATAGTAAAAATAAAAAAATTTTTATTTCCGCCTAAGTATTTAAATTAAACATTTTGCCAGGAATAATTTTTTTAATTCATCAAAAATTTATTCTTAATTTCATATTCATTTATTTTTCACCATAATTAAACACTTAATTACAAATGGTTCAAATAAAGTTTGCTTTGTAGTGTAGTTTTCTCTATAGTATTTGACAACTTGAAATAAATATGTCCCTCGCTTTTGGANAGTATATTATTTATGTATATTAGGGTGGTGCTCAAAAATGAAATGAACAGTTTTTTTCAGTCTCACCCGCTCAATCGGTAATACCGAAGTGAAAGATATCACATATAAATTTTGTTTCCGATTGGAGGCGGTAAAGACGTGTCGTACAGGCGCCAAGTTCCTCTAAGGTGAATCAAAAAATTTAAATTAGTTTTATTTTCATCTAATTCCCATACCCATACCAAAAATTTTGGTCGCGATTGGAGACAGTTACGGCCTGTTGCACCGGGGCCAAACGTTCAGATTACCCTATGAAGTATCAAAATAGTAAAAATAAAAAAATTTATATTTCCGCCTAAGTATTTAAATTAAACAATTTGCCAGGAATAATTTGTTTAATTCATCAAAAATTTATTCTTAATTTCATATTCATTTATTTTTCACCATAATTAAACACTTAATTACAAATGGTTCAAATAAAGTTTGCTTTGTAGTGTAGTTTTCTCTATAGTATTTGACAACTTGAAATAAATATGTCCCTCGCTTTTGGACAAAATTTTACTGTATATTTCTACAAATTTAGCTCCACCCTCTGCCGTGTGATTTACCACTTTTAAATGCTTTATCCTATTAACTGTTTTATATAAATTAAATTGTTTGCCCAATCGGGACCAAAATTTATATGTGGTATTTTCGACTATCGATTTTGGGTGTTAGATGAAAAAAAATTATCTTAATTTTTGAAATCTCCATAGAGAAATTAGAAATTTTCCCCCAGTACGACACGCCTTAACCGTCTCCAAAATCCAAACCAAAATTTATATGTGATATCTTCGGCTATAGAATCATCGCCATAGGGGTTGATGTTTAAGTACAACCCGAATGTACATATACATATCAAACTTTGAGGTAAATACATACATATGCATAAGTATATAACCACAGTTAACCCCTGTGCGCATGCAGCTCAAATTCGTTTTAGACAGACAAATCATTGTAGCCCTTCAATCGCTCCCCCCACATACAAATTTTACGTAGTATGTACTGTGAATGCATTTTATATGTACATATCTATGTGCATTCCTACCCTTGGATGTGCCAAATGCTTCGATGTAGTATGTATGTATCNCAATTTTACTGTATATTTCTACAAATTTAGCTCCACCCTCTGCCGTGTGATTTACCACTTTTAAATGCTTTATCCTATTAACTGTTGTTATATAACTTAAATTGTTTGCCCAATCGGGACCAAAATTTATATGTGGTATTTTCGACTATCGATTTTGGGTGTTAGATGAAAAAAAATTATCTTAATTTTTGGAATCTCCATAGAGAAATTAGAAATTTTCCCCTAGTACGACGCGCCTTAACCGTCTCCAAAATCCAAACCAAAATTTATATGTGATATCTTCGGCTATAGAAGCATCGCCATAGGGGTTGATGTTTAAGGACAACCCGAATGTATACATATCAAACTTTGAGGTAAATACATACATATGCATAAGTATATAACCACAGTTAACCCCTGTGCGCATGCAGCTCAAATTTGTTTTAGACAGACAAATCATTGTAGCCCTTCAATCGCTCCCCCACATACAAATTTTATGTAGTATGTACTTTGAATGCATTTTATATGTACATATCTATGTACATTCCTACCCTTGGATGTGCCAAATGCTTCGATGTAGTATGTATGTATCAGTGTACTGCAGCAAGCTACTTACATTTCAAGCTACTTGAAAGCTTAAGTGCGAAATGCACAACACAAGCGGCTTGACAAACCAAGCGATATATCCCTTTGCTTCAATCCATCTGTTTTGTCTCTGGGGGGAGTGTTTGAAGGTGTGACAAAAAATTTGAACAAAAATCAAAATATTTTGATTTTCTGGCCACCATGTTAACGTTTGATCAAGCTGCTTACGATTTGGATGGTGAAACCACCTCATTCGCAACTGAAATTTCACCAAGTGCGAACGTAAGGAGAAAAATGGAATAAAACCAAAAATTCTTTCATTGTGAACTAGAAGAAGACTAAAATACTGTGCTTGAACGACTCATGTTTGCATGGTGTATGGCAAAATGGGAAAAGTATGTTTGACAAGCCGCTTGTGTGGTGTATTTCGCTCTTTAATTGTATTCAGTGGGCTTGGTTCGAAACAAGCAAGTAAATGCTTGGGCGTGCTTGTTGGATTTTAACTCATACCCGTACTTGGTTTACTTCAAAAATATCGAACTCACTATTTATTAGCGCAACAAAAATCCTCTAACACATAACAATACCCTTTGGTTGTAAAAAGCTGATTCACGGTTTGCAATATGTACGTACATATGTGCTGCTGCTGTATTCAATCTTGTTCGATTCAGGCTACTACCGTATTCATTTGCGTTCAAGCTATGAGTTGAATTTGCTTGTTTGAAGCAAGTGTGAATCATACTTGTGCTTGTATTTTTTTCAAGTAGCTTGAAAACGTAAATGAATCGGCTTGTGCAGTACACTGGTATGTATGTATGTATGTACACTCAGTTGCATAATTTAAAGGCCGCCTCATATTAACCAGTTTTGACTATTTATTTTCATATTATTTAGTTTCAATTATTTCCATTTCCCATTCAATTTTAGCATAACAGAGTGCAAGTTTGAAGTCGGCTAAAAAAAATTTAAGTAAACATTGTTGCATACGTTGCC